TCACGTGCTCACGTCATGAACAGTTGCTCATGACTGCAACACTTCGATTAGAAACTAGGTCAGAAACTGCTGAAATAGCGCTATCTGAGAGCAGTCGCTGACCTGACGAGTACAGACTTATTCCGGAGTGCACATATTTGGGAAAGCCTTGATATACACCGGCTGCTTCTTGAAATCGAGAAGTCTGGGCTGCGATAGCTTGGGCACTGGCAGCGAATGCCTCCAGAAATTAAAGCAAAACAATTGCTACTTTCCCAATCGATCGGCAGAAGATCTCGGCGATGGCGAAATTAACCTAGGACAAATATGTCACTGCTTCCTGTTCTAGACTGCGGTTGTCTTTTGCCGAAGCTGAACCTTTGGTGTAGGATTGGAAGCGTTGGAAGAACAGTGTGACGTGTGTTCTTCTGCGACCTGAATGGAGAAGCGATCATGAAAATTGAATTTAATTGTACATTATTCTGCATGAATTTTCTTTTGAAGACACCATTAACGATAGTTTAGTCATTTAGTACTGCACGTCGTTTTGTCCAAGGTCTGCTTTGGAGGAAGAAGTTGAACAAAATTGAAGCTGCACTAAACCAGGAAAAATTTGCGAGAATGTAGAATTTTGAAAACAATACGATTGGATTATAACTGACCAACTGCGACCAGGCTCAAACTTAGGAGAGAATGTTACCGACGTTCGTTAAGTGAAAGAAAGTTTCGGCTCAGAGGCAGCTCTTTGGCGAGAGTGCTACGAGGCCAGTCAATGGCATGCGCTAGCCAAGATATTGTTGCTAGTTTGTTGATACAATTGTTCTGAAAATTCTTAAATTTAACCGTATTGACATTAAACATAATGATACCGGACTGAAACGGCTAAGGTACAGTGTAAATAAAGAAAACTCACTTTTCACCCAGCAGCTCTGTCGCGTCGCTCCTTGCTTCTAAATGACTGAGGGGACTATTTAAGCAGGCCACGGCTCCATGACATTTTATCGCCTGCAGTGCATAGGACGCAGGACTGCATCTCACGTATGAGCATTGTCACGGACCGTAGGTAATAGAATGACAAACTGCCCCCGACGTCGAGTGGGGATTTTTGGATACGCCGTTAAATATATCACATTATAGACAATGACAACGGACTGAAACGGTGAAGACACAGTGTAAAGAGAGAAAACTCAATGTCTTGTTTTACACCAACAGCTTTGTTGCACCGTCCTCTTGTTTCTAAACGCCTTGGGAATCCATTTAACCGTATTGGATTACTTTGGATATCCCTTGACATCGTAAAAGTAATTACTGAAATATTAAGTTGTACCTGAGGGTACTTTGTTCTACATGCTGCATTTTAAGGGCCGGAGTAAATTCTCCTGTGTATGCAAGCGTGTAGTAACGGCGCTTTCTTTAGAAGTGAATCTATGGATTATAGCTTCTGATTGAAGCCTTCTTTCAGCTGACATGTAAATGAAGTTGTGCTACAGTACCTCCAAACGTAAGCTGTGAAAAGTTTGCTCTTCATGTAAAATATGATAGTCGAAACGGAACAGCATCATTTTCGTTCTGTTGTGCGCTTAAACAGTTTGGTTCTTTTTATGGAGGTGGATAAATTGCAGTAACGCGTCTGTTATCCGCTTGCTATACAGTTATACTTCTTTTGGAGCAGTGTATTATTAATACCTATCCCTCCCACCCTCTTCTCTTCCAGGCGTAGGTGACCAAATTAGATGTTGAGATCAAATCAAGGTGGTTAGTCCTGCTGGACAAATTGATTGAACATAAACCATTTACTTCAGCCCATAAGCTTCTCTTGTAGTAGTTGAAACAGTCCATACTCGACCGGGATGCCACCTTACAACTTGGAGGAACATCGTACATGGTTAGAGGCGAATTTCAGCTGTAAGAAAGGCTTGCATATGATTGTAGAAATATAAAATTTTGTAATGGTAGATAAGCCTTACAAATAGTAAAATATTTATTTATCGTGGAGCTTTTAAGAATGTGACAATGATTACATGGATAAAAGAATGACGTACCATGGTTCCGAAAGCCCATGGTAAATATACTTTCTTCCAGTTTCTTGGCTTATTGACCTTTTTAAAATTTTTTATTTAGATGTTATGTGTGTTCATATATTTTAATACATATTTATATCATGATATTGAATATGTGGCGCATAGACAGCAACTAAAATGCATTCAGTTTGGAAAATTAAGCGATGTACTCTGATAATTCATAAATGTTTCTACGGATGATCTGAAACTTAGCATCAGGAGGTGCGGGAATTAGGCAAAAGCTTGTGAAATGGAGAAGCGATCGATGGTGCATAATTATTATGAACTACTGGTATGAATGAGTATGAATATGCTATCGTCTGCTTCACAAACAGATGAAGTTTGGTTGCTTGTATAGAATCGTCAAGAAATTTCACTTTCCGCAAATAAGATATTGTAGAACTGCAGTCTTTTGTTTTCTTTGCCGCTGCAGCAAACAACAATTAATATAAACCTGAGATATAACTTCAGATGGGTCTAGACATAGTCGGTTTGTTAGTCTTTTCTGTTTCAGCTTTTTTAGCTTCAGGTGACGATGATAACCGGTTTGTATGGTACAACTGCTAATATAATGGAGGGGAAATAAATGAAGTGAAACAAAAATTTAATGATCAGGAACACGAAGAATGAATCGATTCCAAATGAATGAATGTTTCCGCTCTAAACATACCGGGATGGTCCTTGAAAATCCATACCCCAGTGAGAAGCACAGAGGACGCAAACGATGATAATTATTCATAATAATTTTGGATGACTATTCTTTCCTGAAATCATGATGACCATGCATGAGCGCGAAAACGGTTAGCTACCGTGGCAGTAGTAACCGATAATGGCATCACCATATACTCTTTAAAAAGGGGGAGGTGAAGGAGGAAAAACAAAAGGAAGCGCAAATACAATTTGAAACAAGAATTATATATGCTTCTAGAAGTACAAGCAAGTAGAGGAAAGGAAAGAAGAAAAAGCGAAATGAATGTTGAAGAGAAAGGAATAGGAAAATACAGGAAATACAAATTTAACAAACTCAAATGCAAGCAGAAGTAGAGGGCATAAGTAAAGTTTTGGAGAAATGAAAGAAGGCAGGACTCTTAAGTTCAAGCAGGAGAACTACAAACTGAAGAAGAGAGAAAAAGGTAAAAGTGAAATTCGAAACATGAGGAGAGGAAGAAGGAACGAAAAGATGGTAATGAACGTATATAAGGTTTTGGAAGAAAAGTATTTAAGCAACACGAATGTAAGATGTGCGCAAAGAAGCGGATGAATAGAAAGGAGAATCGCAAAGAAGAAGAATAAAGAAAAGAAAACGAAGTTGAAAATGAGGAAGTGAAGGAAAGGAAGAATATTAGAGTTTCAAGTACAAGGGTTTAGGTAGGACGCGATGGCAGCGTGAGAGGCAGTCGGCTTCGAAATCAGCATATGTGAATTTCGAATCTCGAGGGAGGGAAATATTCTTTTTGACCGGTAATTCCTTTGAGCAAGAAATTCACCGCCAAGTTACTTCGACGAAAATAGCCGAGAAACAGGTAACAAGGTTGACGTGCGAGCAACAGGGTCAGCATGGTGTTCTGATATATTTTGTCAGAATGGGCGAGAGGTACGATCGTGTTATTTGATGCGAGCTCCTCTTACCACCGCAATTCGTTTGATTGCTGACTACCCAATGTGATGATCAGTACGCAGGTTATATTAGCACGAAAGACGGGTTAGGTGTAATTGGAAGTAATGACATTAGAAAAAGAAGAAGAAACAAGTTATTCTTTTGGAACAACATTTAATGTTTGTATAAAAGATATTTTCATTGCGAAAGACGATGATAAGGAAATTTTGTTCCTCATCGAAATGAGGCTCTTGAAAATAAGTCAGTTTTGCTTTTTCTTCTCTAAGAATCCGGGAGGGAACGGACTAGAGGTACTAGTGAGAGAACCGCGAGTTTACTACCTTGCATGCAGGATTAAAGTGAATTACATTTTTGACTGGTTTAAGAATGGATACTCATCCTTCCACCGGTATCATCGTTAAAACTCCTATTAGCTTTTTACAGGACTTGTGCTCGAAAAAACGCACAATTGCAACCTATAATTTGGTCACCGCCGAAGGACAGGTACCGCTTTGCGTTTATGTTTGTCTCTTATGAATGAGCTTAAGATAATCCTGTTTCAGATTCATGAACCTACATATGTATATCATTTGACGGTGGACGATCTCAGTTCATACGGATTCGGAAAAAGCAAGAAGATAGCGAAGCACATGGCAGCTCAGATCCTTCTGGAACGCATTGTTGAACTGGAAAAATACACAGATTGGGGAATTCCCGGAAAAAGTCAGGAAGAAGCAAGGGAATATCTGTAAGGCCTGTTCATTTCTCATGAATTGTCCAAATGAATGTATTGCATATTCCGCAGAATTCGATGTGACTTTTCCGGTGCATATTTGATTAAAAAGCGTTTGCGAAATAAATATTGTCTCTTCTGAGCAAGGAAAAGATTTAAGTATCTTTATTTTGAGAAGAACCGTGACAGGTCATGAATGATGCCTTTATATCTATAAATGATGTCATATTTCTGGTTGGCACCTTGATTGTTCATCTGTCACTCGCGTCTGATGGCTTTCAGTTTTAGATCTTGTCTATCCTTTGAGTTCCTTGTTCAGTCTGTTCTTTCCTTCTCCATGCCGGATATATATCTCGCATGCGTTGCCATAAGCACATCAGAATACAACCTTGTTTCTACTCTCCGTATGTCATCGAAGCTGGATGAATTGCTTGTTCATTTAGCAGTTAAATAGAAAATGTTGTCTCACTTCTAAACTATGAAATCTAGCATCGTTCCTCTGTATTCCTGTCTTTTAATACTTCATTAAATTTAAATATGCTTAATACAAGATTCCCGGTGTTTAATTTTAAACGTTGTACTGCATAAGAATATTTTAAGATTCAGCGAGCCAAAATGTACCAGCCTTGTCAGACAATTTTAGTTCTATGATGAATATTTATTGACAAAAGCTTAAACCGTCACAACCTAAAGTGGTAGAAAAAATTCGACTTTCAGAATTGTTTGATTAGTGCTTCATCGGGACAGTCATGCAGGAATTTGGTGTTTTCTTTATCATTTTACTGACTTATGCAGAGATCAAGCTATTCGCTTATTCTGATTTTGTAATTATTCAAGAAAATACATGGTTACAATTTGTTGTTGTCATCGTCATCTAAAGTATCAGGGTTAAGCTCCGAGTACTCAGATTAATAATGCCTGACGCTTTGGCTTTTCAGAATGATTTAGACGTAGCAATTTATTTAAATCATAAGCCAAGGCGTTGTTACAAGAAATATTCTGAATTTAGCTGCCGTTGTATGTTGTAGGGCACAAGTGATCGTTCAGCGATTCATTGTTAGCTTCACCATTTATTTTTTAAGTACTATTATGTGATACTTTTGTCAAAGCTTAGCACAATGCGATATTTTTAAAATGTATATGTCACTCGTGGTGTATGTTGTGTTATATGCAACATTTCAGCCGCCAAGCCATACCTGAATACTATGAAAATTCTCAATCCGCAGACGTCGATGTTTCTAATGGAGAGATGCTAAGCGTTGTCGGCGCGGTAACCGAACTGCAAGGGATGTGCTTGCTGAACAGATGGCCATCAGCAGATTACCGTGAAATTGCCGCAGATGGGCCTCCTCATGACCGCATGTTTCGGTTCGCTGTTGTCCTGGGAGAGTACAGTGCATGTGGTTAGTACAACTACTAGAATACCGTTTTCAGTACTGTTCATAAATGAATATATTAACAATACGTGTTGTTTGCTATTTCTTTGACTCGCTGCAATGTTTGGCTGTGCAAAAATCAAAGCCATTCATGGCTCCATCGTTCCTGCAGTTCATCCCACGTTATACATCGAACCCGAGATGGTATGAGGCCGTTATTGGGCCTTCATTAGAGCACTAATTCTGCCATACAATTAACACTGATCTTACTTCGGCAACGTGTGGGTGAATTTCTGTTTAAAAGTTATTTTTTCTGCCATTCTGTTAGACAGGTTATCCAAGACACTGGAGGCGAGACCGATCCTCTGGTTAATTCTTATTGGATGGTGCCAGCGCTAGAAATGAGGCAGCTGAGTTATTTAAATTGTTGAACTTCCACTGTCGCTTCATCTCTCAGCTCCATTAGTAGGTGAATCGTGTTCAGTGGATTCTTCGTCGCTGTAAGCTACAGGCGTTAAGATAAAGGCCTGCTTTCGTAGCTGGGTTGCATTCCGAATCTATCAAGTGGCAGCTTTCTTACCGTATCACTCACCAAGGCAGGATCTTCTATGTATTCAGTATCAGTAAGATATTTTTCTCAGATATCTTGAATTGCGTTTTACGTCTAGAATGAGGCCTTTGTCTTTTCGATGGGTCAGCACTGTTTCAGAGAATAAAATCGAGAACAGTTTTGAATAGAAAGGGCGAAAGTATATCTCACTGGCGAACTTCATAGTTATTAGGGAACCACACAGGTAGCTCTCTTTGATAGCAGCATAACTTCTGCGTGCATCTCTTCCAAAATGAAATCCATCGAATCAGGTATCTCGTAACATTTAAAGATTTTCCATACCGTTTGACGATGAAATAAATCAGATGGAACCTTAAAGTCGAGGAAACTGGCAAACCATGGCAATTGGAATTGTCAGCATCACACAGAAAATTTGGTCAGAACTGGAGTACTGCATCCGGAAGTTTGCGGTATTTGGGCAAAATCTCCCTTTAGCTGATTGTCTCAGTAGCCCAATCCAAGAGAAATGTAGATTGTTGATAATAGTAGTAGCATGACAGTTGTAACATTCTGTGGCACATTCCATTTAAAAATAGAAACAGTGACTTCACACTTCCATTCTCTGAGTAACGCTTCTAGGTCCATATTTGATGAAGCAGGTCACGTGACCCTTTTACCATTCCAGTTCCTTTATGCTTAATTTACTCCTGAATGATTCGGTTCACCCATCAGGCTGTCTTTACCTTGAGGTGTAGGAATGCTTGTGGATTTCTAGCATTGTTCGTTAGCGTACAATCAACCATCAAAAATGACGAATCACTAAGACAGCTGAAAATTCTCAGCTAATCAGTTGACTTTGCTCTGACGTGCCAGTGGAACACCCTTAGCGTCTTGAATAAGGACCAGCCGAATCCCTTTGTCCCCTGACTGGGTGAATAAATGTTGCACTCGTTTTAATAATGGTTGCCATTCACCCTCTTGGGCTGATTTATCGATCTTTCTTTTCCCACCTCCAGCCGAAGTTCCCTGCCTTGCTTGTAGCTCTGATTCACTGGACGAACGAGATAGTATGGATGATGCAATAGAGTGTTGCCGACGCTGCTTCTTTGTCTGGTTCCTTTGCCCTCTAAGGGCAAGATTGTTCTGTGTAACACACGACGGTTTGGCTTTCTTTCTCTGTTCTCCAACTCCAATCTCCGCTGACGAAATTCCCTACCTCCTTTGGCAAGCGGCCGCGCCGCTTTGTCGTATTTAATCCTGGCAACATAGAGATGCTGGTGTATTTCAACCAGACGAAGTAAATACGACGCGCGTAATTTTACGATGAAGTCCGTTACGACCATATGATTATCATGTCCAGTGCAGGTGTCCTGCTTGAAGCGAGTCTCGAGTAATCAACTGCATTACTTGCGGTAGATGAGGAGGTGGTTTAGTTGAGACTTTAATTTTCCGTTAGTAAATGTCCATGTAGTTTGAAAGAATATAGTCCCGCTGACGATTAAGCTATTTGTTACGCAATAGCCTAACAAACACTTGCCGTTGCCATTCGCAGTATCAGTTCCATGCCGGCCGAATACGCGTGGCGGAGTGCTGCAGTAGCGCAAACCTTCGCGTTAAGGTCATCTATGACAGTTGCGACACTGTGATGTCATTATCACAACATCATTATGTAACAAACCCCTGACGGAAAAAGTCATAGAAAGCGATTTTTTATCCCTTTTAATCTACACGTCTGCTGAGGCATCATCAGCTTTGACACTCAGCGTCGACTGTTTGATGTTTACTTGATAAATTAACAGTTTTGAGTGATTGTGCATGCCTTGTGGAGGGTACCTTCACCACCAACATGCAGTCTACTGGTTGGAATGCTGCATAATTCGATGTTAACAGGAAGATATAATCTGCATAATTGAAGTCAGTGATTCAAAGGCCGAGACTT